ATTTATTCACGTGGAAGCAGGTGCTGTTTCACATCTCGACAGCCACTTCTAAACACAGAACGGGAAAATCTCATTTTGTCCCAATATAAAGTCCTGACGTACTTCGAGATGCATGAACCTACCCGTGTAATGATTTAATTAAAAGGACCGTCCTACGGCTGATCATCCTAACTGATCCATTATGTGTATACTTGGGTAATTAAATGTCAATAAAAAGAAGTTCAATGTTCTAGAAAAATTATATTATAAATGGTAATTAATCGAGAAAAAATGCCATCGTAATCACACTTGCCACATAGAAGTAATATCATATTCGCCCTGTCCATTGAAAAATTAAAAATCAGTTGTTATCGTAGCCTAAGGTCATTTCAGTATACAAAATATACAAATTATTTCAATTAATTAATCTTTATGTAAGGTATTGGTTGAAATTAAAAAGTTAGTGTCACGAGCAGGATTCGAACCCACGACCTTCGGCTCAATACGCCGCAGCACTAGCCATTGTTAGTGTCATGATAGCTCAAGTGGTTAGAGCAGCGGCGTATTTAGACGAAGGTCGTGGGTTCGAATCCCGCTCGCGACACTAACTTTTTCATTTCAACCAATACCTTACATAAAGATTAATTAATTGAAAGAAGTTATTTGGTCAATCGGACCACGAAATATAATGGATACAAATTAATATCGAGGCTAAAGACTTTTGTTTCTACTTTCAACCAGGTTGATGGAGTACTCGATATTCCTCCTTTATCTAATGAACAAACAATACAACTAATATAACTAACAATTAATATGTAATCAATATTCCACCATCGGGAAACCCTACACATTTATGTTAATAACTACACTCTCATAATACATTTACAAAAAAATTAACTATATAAAAATGCGCCTGTTTTCCTCTACACCGGAACACGGGCGCCAAAACTCGCTGCTCAAGTTCTCATATCGGCTGATATTCCTACTCTTTTTATACAAGCGTTCATACACAAAAATAAATTTAGATAAAAGAAAACGGGTGTAAAATAACCCATTGAACTAAAATCGACAATATAGTATGGGTAATGTCTTCTCCTCTGAATTATAGTCTCTAACATAGTATAAATTTTATGAGACGTGCTCGCATAAATCCATCACTGTTTAAGTCTTAATTCTGGCAAGGTGGTAGGAGCGCTGCTGACTGACAAGCTGATCTTAAGTTCATCTTCAGATGCTATATAGCGTAAAATTTAACTTCATTCTAGGTGAATTGTCAAAAGCCTGCCTCATGACCTCCAAAACCGCCACCTACATTTGTCTGCAATTTAGCTGACTACGGCAAGCTCTGCAAGGATCTAACACTAAATTGCGGGCTTACAACTTCAAGTGTACGTAACAAAGATGTTGCCATATCGTCGCAAACTGTACATACTTACAGATAATCGACTATATGTCAGAAAATAACGCAGAGTATCATACTTACGACGTCATACAGAATAAACCATTCCGTATAGTTATCCTCTTTATACATCACAGCACCCCTCCAGAACTCATCAAAGAAGAGATGGCAACACGTGGATTTATTGCGAGAAATGTAACGAAAAATGTTGTTCACCCAGCCAACAAAAAACCATTTATGTTTTTCGTTGATCTTGAGCAGCAAAACAATCATCAAAATATGTACAAAATTAATTTTTTACACCAGTCGAGGATTCGAGTTTAGGAGCCACACAAGCAACTCTAGATAGTGCAGTGTAAAAGGTGCCAGCAATATGGTCATACCAGATCATATTTACCACAGTGCGTCAAATGTGGAGAGTCACACCTACGTCGGGATTGTGTGAAGCCTCCGACCATACCGGTCAAGTGTGCTCTTTGCCAGGCAAATCACCAGCTAACTACCGAGCAGGCCTGGTCCAAAAAGAACCAGGCCCATTTGTGAACACCCATCTGCCGTTAGAAAAAACCAGCAACCTGCTCAACCTCCTTCTAATCAGCCAGCATATCAGCCACCTCAGCAATTCAATTTTGCAGATAATGAAAGGTACATGGGCGACTCCTCCAAACGCCTCCCAGCCTCTACCATCTTCCTCACCAGCTATCAATGCAGCCATTGGGAGCTTTCTTATTAATATAAAAAAACACTATAACTCCTTTAATAAACCTCCTAACCACCCTCATAACTAAATTCCAACCTAAAATCCCTTCTTAATCCGATCAAACTTCATTCCCTTTCAATCCTTCTCTGGAACGCCAATGGTCAGAATTTACATATACTAGACGCACTACTCTTCTATAGACGGATAGACATCGCTCTAATAACGGAAACTCGCTTCACATCTAGTGTTTTCAGAACTGACAACCCTGACGATACTGCACATGGAGAAACTGCAATTCTAATAAAGAACATTCTTACCCATAATTTCATACCGCGCTCATCTACCAACTTCTTTCAGTCCACAGTTATCCATACACCCTTTTAAATTCTCAATTGCAGCAGTATAGTGCTACCAAAATCATACCCTTACCCCCGAATGATTTTATTACCTTCTTCCAATCTTTAGGTTCTAAATTCCTGGCGGGCGGTTACTATAACGCAAAACATCCCTACTGGGGCTCTAGAGCGTCCAACTCTCGATACGGTGTCTTCACAATGTCCCATCTCAATTCATACTACTAGGGATATACTCCTTTTTATCCACATCCCAACCAATGTACTAGCGTACTTCCCAATTTAAAGCCCTGACGTTCATTTGTTCTCTATCTACCAGGATGATATGTTGGCCTGGAAGGTAGCTAATATGGATCCTTCCAGCCCCGAAACTTACAATGGTCCTGCAATTTGCCCCAAAAGGAGGTCACATTAACACACTGGAATGAGTGAAAATACTAATCAACTATCAAGGATGAGACACCACACAATAAACACACAGAGAAACTACTGAGGTTTTAAATTGATCAATATCTTAGAACTCCTTAGTAAGCTTTAAACAAACAAGAGAAACACTTTTGTTTTCAGTAAGATCGTTTCATAACGAGGTGCAAGAACCTTTATGGCCACCTCTTTTATCCCTATCCTCCATCTACAGGGTAATGGTTATGGACTTCCAAGACTATCAGCACTCAGTCTTACGGTTAATGCAGATTTGTGAACATACTTTACAGCACAGGCGGCAACGTGTTAATTGCGAATTTTGTCCAAAAATGAAGCAAATGGTTTGGTCATGTTACAATGTGTTAAGCCAAGATTTTGTGAAGTTGGTCCGTTTTACCTTGAGAAGAACCAATCAACAAACTTACGAATTGCTCTTGCGTTACGATCCCCACAATTTTCAGTCACTCGTAGACGATCTTGATAATGTCAAAAAAACAATACTTTCTTTGGTCATTTTGACACTAGTGATGGTCTTAAATGAACTCAGGAGCACGTTCTTAGACGTTGCAACGTGAATCATCTTGCTAGTGGTTATGAACAATTCGAAGAATGTCGAGAGCGTCTGAGTAGTTGTGGAATTTCAATTCCGCAGAGAATGCGTAAGAAATAATTGACCCTCTGAAGTCGTGTCCCTCTTGGACGTCCTGTTGCATGAACTAGTACCCCCATGCCATCACTAGCCAAGTAAAATGCCTTCGTCCGTCTTCTGCCAAATACAAAAGAGCTTTATCTCGTTAATTATAATTTTTTTTAAATAAACAAACGCAACCGGGTTAAATTTATTTTAGAAAAAATAGTGTCGTTTGCTTCCAAATAAAACACGTTATGTCTAATTTAGGTTTTATATTAGAATAAATAATCTAGCGACCGTGAATTTCGGTTATTCTTACAACAGGACGCGAAAGAGTTATACCTCGTTTTTCAAGCGTGATATTTTGGTCCGGGCTAATAGGACGTCTGAAAACCGCTAATTCGTTATGTGGCCTGATCTAACCGAATTATGAGGCCACCCAACTTCACTCCCGGACAAGTTTTAAACGATCAAGTACTATTAATCTGACGTGGGAAGTTCGTGAAAGCTGTTGGGTCAAGGCGGAAAAGAAATGGACGAAACACACCCACGCAGTCGGTCGTACAACAATTACACTCTCATCAGTAAAACTAATATGAAAGAGACGGCCTGAAAGCATTACTATTCCGACAAAGTCACATAAAATCAAACGTCAAAAACATTCGATCAAAACATTTTAATATAAATTAAAACTTTACGGCGTATTTTAATTATTAATTTTGAATGAAAAGTCATGCCTTGCGTGTGTTTTCGCAAATGTTACGAAAATAAAATTTATTTCACTCTTTTTTGTTATTATTTCAAAGATGTTGTGAATAAATATATTTGTTATATTTTGTTTTTAATTATATTAAACCCTAACTACAATGTTTTTCGTGTATTAAAATAAATTAGTCTAATATGTTATAACCAAAGTATAGCCAGTAAGTGATCAGTGTTATATTCAAAGTAGTTTACAGTGTAATCAAACCAACAAAAACAATCTAATCAAAACAATTGTTTTTAATCAGGTTAAAAATATAGTCGATTTGTATATTAAATTTCTGTCTTATTTAAGTACAAGTAGTAGAAATTTCCATTTGCCAAATTGGGAAAAAGCCATCTAGTCCAACGACATCCTTTTTCACGATAATCCCGGGCTAAATGAAGAAAATTGTAAAAGTGCCCAATGCCGGAAACCTCCGGAGTGAAGAAATATTCAATTTCCTCCTAATTATATTAGAGCGAAAATAAAATAAAATTAAAGGGCATTATTATCTTGGCAATTAAATTCAAAGTGCTCCTTTCTTTACAACATACACTAACACAGTTAATGTTTTAATTTTTTTCAAATTTGACATTGTTTCTGTCCATAAAAAGCAATACAGAAGAATCGCTGATTTGAATTAGTTGGCTATATTGCACGTGGTTATTTTTATTATCAATTAGAGATCTTGTCTGTGTCAAACAAATCACAGGATGTGCTATTGTTGTAATCAATAAATCGAGCAGGAAGGTTGGCCTGTTTGCGTGCCAATTTTACTTTTTTCTAGATCGCTTTGCAGTGCGCGCATTACACCATGTACAGACTAATTATTTGCACCTTCTTTGCGTTTGTCTTCTCGGAGATCAGGGAGGAAGACAATGAAGTTATCAACTCGATGGTGGAAAAAATCGCTATGCGCGACTACAGCGAGACTGTGAATCTTAACCAGTTTCTCGTGAGTAAAAAGAGACCATTTAATTGAATATTTGGATATTGTATAGGCATCTTCAGGGCTCAAAATGTTTGTTTTCTGCGTAGTTGTGTCATTCTTGCGAGCCCTGAAGATGATCTCAATAAAGATCGAAACGTTGGCACGAAAATGTTTTTCTAAACCCTACGTCACACCAGACCGCATCTCACTATCTCCCAATAATCAATGTAATAAGCAGTTGTACTCCAACTGGCAAATTTGATAAGACGTTTTTACAAAAGACAGGAAGACAATTTTAATTCAGTCTCAAGTAGAAATAATGATAGATGTTTATTGAACCTCATTAAAGGTTAAGGACCGGATGAAATACATAATAAAATATTTTTTTTACGAGGGTGTGCAACAGCAGAGGTCATATAAACCCTCAGGGGGCCGGTGTTTTTGAAAAAAAAAACATTTGTAAATATGTCGGGTTCGAATGCAGGGCCGCTGGATTCGAACCCGGGACCTTCACCTTGCAGTGCCAAAGCCTAAACCGTCGCGGCCACCGGCGCCCCATATATAAAATATTTTAAACTTACTATTGCTCCGATTTTCTTTCTTGCGTATTTAAAATTAGTTATACAGTTTCGGTTTTTAAAACCAATAATAAAAGTAATATTTGTAATTATACGACAAGCTTTATAAACTTAAATATACCCACTCATTATTACCTTATCCTAAAATCCTACTTAACCGACCGCTGCTTCAGAGTGAGGTGCGGCAACAATTTTTCGGAAATCAGACCGATACAAGCCGGCGTCCCTCAAGGGACCATTCTTAGTTGCATCTTTTCTATCTGAACACCCCAATAACATCATCACCACCTACGCGAACGATACCGCAATTTTTCCTCTAACTTGAATCCTAACCAAGCTACCTCCAACATCCAAGAACACCTCGTGCTTATCATAGACTGGTGGAAAAAGTGGAGGACAAGACTGAATGAAGAAAAATGTACTCAGTGTACGTTCACATTGAAAAAATAGTTTTGCCAAGTACAGATCAACAGATGTAGATCAACAACAAAGAGATACCGTTCCATTTAACTCAAATACTTAGTTGTATACCTACAGGACAGGCATGGAATCCCCACACAAGGCTTAAGAGACAACATCTTAGAAGAAGACTTAAGGATAACTACGATGACTTGTAGGACCGAAATCAGTCTTGACGGACAACACTACATTAACCTTAAACAAGGCATCACTGCGATCAATTTGGTGATACGGGGTTGAACGAATCTGCCAAACCATCCAACATAGCATATCTAATCCATCAATAGAAAGTCCTCAGACCAAACGTCAAAGCTCTTACTACATCTCTAACCTCACTAGCCACAACGACCTCATCATTCATTTCGTCAACGAACAGATCCAGATTCGAAAAGTTTCACACTAATCTCTCGATCCATCCTAGCTCGTGCCCTCTCTAAAAATTCTCATACCGAGAACTCCCCAAGCCCTTAATCGACGATGGCCCGGAGACCTCCTCGCCCCTTAATCCCTCATACTGACTGCCAGCATCGGCTGGTTCTCATGGCATGCGTCTCCGGGTGCAGCGCTGGCAGTTAGTACCGTGACCTTGGGAAAAAACGTTTTCTGATCGCATTTGTAATAATATCCATAGAGAACAAATAATATAATTTAAAAAATCTTAACATCTCCGCTAATTTTTGAAAATGAGAAACTTGTTTGAATTATTGCATCTGAATTCATCTCTGTGGATTCGCTAAAGATCTGGAGTGATTTCGGCAACATTAGCATTTCCGGTGATATCCAGCCTCTGTCTATTAGTCAGTTTTAGGACTGTGTCCAAATTGGGACGAAATTTATCAACTCACCTAAACCTGGTTTTACTTAGCAAAATATTCTTTAATTAATTATTTCAATAGTACAAACAGCTCAAGATAGTTAATTCAATACGCCCGCCTCGCATAGAGTTACAAAGAATTATAAAACACGATACACCAGTTCAGTTGTTAGGTTTAGATTATTTATAGTAACTATTGTTTTTCCTCTCCAAATTCTCATTTTATTTGTTAATTAAATTTTAGTGATTTTACTTCACTCTTTTTTGCCACTCTCTTGCTTTTATTTAGCTTTTCCCTTCGAAATTATCACTTAAGGTGATATTTCTAAACCATCTCACTGTTATAGTCGTAATTTTTAATTTATTTCGTCTAATATATGTATTTTTTTTCTTAACATTTTTAAAGATATCGCATTAATTTTCTTTTTTCATTAAATTCACTAATTTCGTGGTCCGCTTGACCAATAATTATATTACAATTAATTAAGGCTTTTAATTGAGAAAAAAAAGTCAATGGCACGAGCGGGATTCGAACCCACGATCTTCGGCTAGATACGCCGCTGCTCTACCACTTGAGCTATCGTGACCTCGATCCACTCGGACACCAACTTCCTATCTCAACCTTTTGAGTTTTCCCTCCTTTTTTTCTTTTTCACTTATTTTCAAATTCAATGTTATTTTATTCATTTTTTATAGTTGACGAATTTCCATACTTTTCTCTAATTTGTTATTTCTTTTCAAACAAACTCCGGCTGTTTGAATTGTAAATTATTGTAAGTAAAAAAGTAACTATATCTATCTATGTATCTTTTTGGGTTTTGAGCTATAAAATTACAAACATTTCCTCGGTTTGAAAATTGTTGCATAAGTGGTAACTCAAAAGATCCTGAAAATTTGGTCAATTGTCTATGAATGATTAGCCTTTAGTTTAAAGAGCTTTAATTTAAACAATCCTTTAGTTTTCATTACTTTAATATAAAAGGACAGGTTGTAATCAATAAGGCCGCCAGATTCTCGGATTGACACGTTCACGTTCATGAGTTCGAATCCCAGCGTTGCTAGCACGTTTTACCCCATGTCCTTGACTCTTAAAAGGTGTTTTGATTGAAATATTTCTTATGATTAAGAAAAGTGTATCAAAATTTTAGTTTGTGATTTAAAAACCAATAATCACTCTTTGTATTTTACACTACTGATTTTTCTTGTGGATCAGTGTAATGTGATCAAGCAACGCAATTCCTAAATGCACAGCTTTGATTAATATCAATTTGATATACTAACTTTCTTTTCTGGCTGACGGTCTTAATACCATGCCCTAATAATACTGTGTTTTTTTAATTTTTAACTCTAAATTTCTTTCATTTTGTAAATAAAGTATATCTGTCTATCTATCTACTAATTTTCTTTCTTGTTGTCAGATTGAGTTGAAGAAAATGGAATTTTCTGACTTCAAGACTTTAAAAAGTATGGAAGGATCAACATGGTTGAAAGATTATTCCGAGGATGGGAATAATGTTGATTATATGAATCTAACCCTAAGGCTTGGTACGTATGACGTCGTGCTTTTCTTGATAAACGTGTAAACTTTAAATCCGTCAATTCGTTGTAGAAAAGATGATGGTGAAGGTGAATGAAGTCCTCGTCGGGCCGACGAAGCTAAGTGCATCGTTTGACATAGGCGAGAACGAGATGAAGGTCAGGGCGATGACGAAAGGATACATCAACCCGGGCGAATGCAAAATAAAGTTCGAGGACTTTGAGGTCGTCAAGCTCAATAAGGTGATCATGCACTCCGACGTCCCTGAATACGAAGGCTTGGACGTATCGAACTTCTTCCAGGATTTAGCTCTACCGCTCATCAACCGCATAGTCAAGAGCAGATGGTTTGACCAGTATATGGAGAAGATGGCCGTATGTTTTTGCTCCATTGCTGAAGCGTCAGTTGACAAGATGCAGGATCCGTAAAATAGTAGTTAATTAAATTGTAACTTTAATAAATTGAAGATGTATCAATAATCTTAATCATCCTGGTGCACGTTTAAATATTGTTTTCATGTATTGCATAACAAATTATCTATCATTATTAAACCAAATGCTTAATGAAGTACGTAGTAAAGAAAGTTTTTCTCCAGGCTGATCTACTTTCAATTAACTAATTGCAGGTTGTTCAGACTATAGTAACTAAAGTACGACCTACAACTACTAAAACTGGTTAATCCTTCTCATATTTAATATTTGTTAATGAACCTCATATGTGAAATGAACTACACATGGAAATAAACTAAGTCGTCATATTACTGGCAGGACACTTCTGTCAAGAAATCTTATTCGCATTAAGAGAGAATATTGAATAGAAGAAAGGTGAGTAGTGAAGATTCAAGAAAATGCTAAGAAAAAGAAAAAAAAAGAAAGATGTAGGAGGCAGGTTGGAAAGGTTTCTTTGACAGAGCACTGCAGACACAACCTTTCTTGAAAAAAGTTCCGCTTGTATCAGCATAGGGCATATACATTTTTTCAAAGAGGCATAAAAAACAAAATTATCTGCAGGAGGAAACAATCCGAAAAAAAAATCATGGAGAAATTGTCGGTGCTATAAATAAATTGTATTGTATAAATGCGTTTTTTATTTATTTATTTATTGCTCTCTGTACAAAAATATACATTAAGCGAATAGACTAATGCATACATGCAAATATGACAGATCTGCCAGACCATGCAGCTGTGGGAAGCGGAGCCAGGATCAGGATAGGATGAAGGGAAAAGATGAAGTGGGAATTGTTGTTTTGATCAGATCCTCCTCGAATGGGTTTGTGGCTTGAAATGGAGCTTTGAGGTCCTGTGGAGGACTTTGGATTGAAAGGATATCAGTGGATGTAGGAGAATTTGGCAGAGCCACAGGACTTGACTTCGTATGTGCAAATCGGTCTAATGATTGTTTTGCAAGCAGTTTTTTGTGAATGCTTAGTGAAGATATCGGCCCGAGTAGACGTAATAGTTTTCCATGTTTATTGATGAGTTTCTTTTTTTAGACCAATTTTATGTAAGTCCAAGGTAGCGGATTTGGTTGGATGGAGAGACTACCTAGTTTATATGTACTAGTGGGCAGCTCGTTTGCTTGATGTCCCACCAAGTGCTCCAAACGTCTATGAAGTGAGGTGTTTTTGGATTGTTTACAGATTGGGTTTGGAGTGTGTGGATAGGATCGCCATGTCATCCGCCTAAATTGTGATTTATAGTCAGAATGTAGATTGGAAGATAATGGCACCTATGTCTTGTTGGAGGCCAGCTTTGACTGACACGATGCGTGAAAAATCTAAGCTGGTTCTCACTTTTAAATGAAAATCAAAAATATTTTATTTATAAAAACATTGATTAAGATTTTTTTCGGTTATACCAGCTGTATGCACTTATCTACAATTTTTACAACTAAAGTTGACCGTATGGTGAATTTTAAGTACAAATTTAGTAAGTTATAGTATTTAATTAGTGAGTAGAAATTCTTTTTGTTGTGTTCCATCCCTGAAGAGACAAGTATATAGTTTGTAGCTTATAGCTTGTGAATGTCTAGCTTCTAGGAAGAAAATTCGATTTTCCACACAAGAACCTTTTGAATTTTAATCTAGAATGTTCATCATAGATAAATAGAATATTAATTTATTATGTGCGTCAAAAGGATAAATCTATAATAAGGGTTACTTGGGCGTTAGCATCCTTTGATCTCGCTTAGACGCTCAGTTCCGCTTCGCTGCTTCTACTCCATGGTTTCAACGCCTACGCACGGTAATTTAAGAAACTTAAAACGCAGGATATACAACGCCCAAAATCAATAAGATTATTTTATTTTTAGTTGTAAATCTTTACTTTGTTTCGAGAGGTATATGGCGAAAATCTTGATTGTCTTGAGCAAGATTCGGGCAGCTCCCACGAATTAAGTATAAAACATGTTGTAATGAAACACTTTAAAGTACAAGTTACTTTTATTTATTAAGATTTCATGGTTGATTTATACCCCACTCTTTAGAAGCTATTTTCATCCCCAATTTTTGTGCATATAATACACCAGTCCTAAAACCAGGAACACACTTACCCGACGCCTTGCCACATTTTGGTGGGGTGTGCACATCTATCCGACGCAAGTACACGTCGCGTACAGTCCACAGCGTTTATTACAATAATCACTATCACAATCGCAACACATCTTTTGTTCTTAATGCACTATTTTGATTAAAACCTTCTAATAAATTGTTAGTTAAATTTTATGAGCACAACCATCTAATAAATTGTTTGTTTAACTTAATTGTTGTAATTAAAGTTACTCCTAACCAACGTAATTAAACAACGTTTATAAAAACTTACGAATTTTTGATCTCGTTTAATTTGGTTTACATTAAAATAACATGTTGTAATTAATATAACGACAAAATTACATGTACTTAGTTTGAAATAAACTACAAAAAATATGAGTGTCCTGTTCTGATGCTACCCGACGAAATGGTGTAATTTTTACGACCAAAACTATGAAATAAATTGTTAATTAAATTTTATGAGCAAAACCGTGTAATAAATTGTTAGTTAAATTTTATGAGCACAACCATCTATTAAATTGTTTGTTTAACTTAATTGTTTTAATTAAAGTTACTCCTAACCATCGTAATTAAACAACGTTTATAAAAACTTACGAATTTTTGATCTCGTTTAATTTGGTTTACATTAAAATAACATGTTGTAATTAATATAACGACAAAATTACATGTACTTAGTTTGAAATAAACTACAAAAAATATGAGTGTCCTGTTCTGATGCTACCCGACATTAGAAAATGGTGTAATTTTTACGACCAAAACTATGAAATAAATTGTTAATTAAATTTTATGAGCAAAACCGTGTAATAAATTGTTCCAATTTTAGTATATTTACCGCCGAAGCAAGTACAATAAATTGTTAGTTAAATTCATTATATCAAAAAAATCGTATTCCGGTGTTTTGATTAATTTTGTACCAAACCATTAAAATTAATTTTTTAAATAAAAACTAATTAATTTTTAATCGCAGTTAATTTGGTTTATATTAAAATAAGTATGTTGTAATTAATATAGCGACAATAATGCATGTAGTTTGAATGAAAATATGAGTGTCCGGTTCTTTTGTCTTCGACTGTACTCGATGCGACCCGACGAAAATCTGGACAGTGGGGATCGCAGAGCGTCGGGTAGGTTAGCGTGGCATAGCATCGGGTAGATGTGCGCGGGGGTAATGCAACCTTATGGAAAATCGGAGTTTAGATTTGCGTCGGGTAGCGTCGCATGGCGTAGCATCGGGTAAGTGTGTTCCTGGCTTAACTCTTTAAGGAATTTAATTGCTTGGATCAGTGGCAACTGATGTGTTGAGGATCGTTAAGTATTTTCTTCAACGGAGACTGGAACTGAAGAATAATGTTAGGCACCATGTCCCTTATTGCAGAACCCGCACACACAGTGATAGAAGCCTGTCTACCGCAGCTGTCCATTGAGTTTCGTCGAGTGCTTCGTCAAGATTCATTCTGTTAACTTCTGTTTTTTCAAATCTCTTGATTCTTGGATTTTTTGGCAATAAGAGATTCCCAACGCTTCTTCAATATTTTCTTATCCTCCATTGTACTGCTTATTAACGGTAATTTAGGTTCCTGTCCTATAAAATGGTTCTGGCATACATACATCCAGATGAGGATGGCTTATTAAAGTGCAAATAAGCTTTAGGATAGCATTAATAATTCCAGTCCTAAGAGAAAGCGACCAGAAAATCCTAAAACAGGTACAAATAAATCGAATGGTTATAACGCTGTCTGACAAATAAAAATAGAAACGAGAGATGTTTGGAAGTATAAAACCTGAAGTAGCGGAATCTTATCATGGTACTCAGATTAATCCAAATTGGAACAGAGAGTGGGATCAGAGGTTAGAAGCCCTTATTTTGATCAGTAAAACCTCTGGAACCCATACTATCTTTTCTGCAGGCTGGGATCAATATACTTGAACTCTTTCTTCTCTCTCCACAAGAAATATTAAAAAGGGGGACTGAAAGGTACACAGATATATTACATTCTCAGTCACTAGCAGTTCGTAAGGCCTGACACACCTTCACATTCAATTCAAAGATGTTCCAGAAATGCCTAACATCTCTAACTTCTGGGAAAACGCAACCATGTAACCCTGATGTGGGATCAAATCTGGGGTTGGAAGCCCAGATTTTTCCAAGAAAATCCTCTGAGCACAACCTCAATGTACAAGAACTACTACAAAATGGGACTGAAAGGTGCACATATGCTCAGACAGCCAAGCAGCACCAACGCTTCTATGAAACCCTGATGTGAATTGAAAACAATTAACAAACTAACAAAAACAGCCCGCCAAACAGCAAGTCAGCACACCCTAAATTATGCCAAAAGCCGGAATACACACTGGATGAATTCACCAGGTGCAAAACAATCAAAGAACTTTCTAAACATCTCAACCAGGAAATTGAAAAATCGAAATCACTCTCAGCAAGTAGATAATTAGGAAATATTAAGCCTATATACTGGCAACTGCCATCTTAGTTAGTACCTTTAAATAAAAACGGAAAAACTGGGAAAGAAACCTGCAATTCTGCCATGAAATACAGAGAAAACAGAACATATCTTATGTGACTGCAAAGCACTAGCCCGCTTAGATCCGCAGATGTCACGAATAAATCAATTCCAAATATCTCTTGGTAACATGAACATCATATGTTTTTACTATTTAGCTTTTACCCCCGACTTCGTCCACGCAGGACTCTGTTTTAATGCACCTTTCTAATGCAATGCAGATAGCGAGTATGGCTTTCTAATATAATGTCCCGACTCTCAAATTCTGTTATTCTTCAATTCACTTCGGTCTATACATGGTAAAAAATTGTCCATATGATCTCCTTAAGAAGAAGAAAAATAACTTTATTCTGGGACTGGTGTCCCCTAATAATAATTTACATGAAATAAATAAAAGAAGTTCCTTCTATGAACTATGAAGTTAAAAGTAAAAAAAAGATAAAAATCTTGGCACAATGTATACCAATAAAGCAGGACAGAAGAAAAAATTACGAGAATATTAA